AAGCTGAGTAGCTCTGGCAAGACTTCAAGTGCCAGGGGGCTCCCTGTGGACTTCCAATGGCTGCACCCACTCAGTAAAGCTAACGAAGGCTTGGAGCAAGCTGCTTTGCAATAATAGCAGGGTGCCCATGGTTATGGCTGATAGCTTTTGGAGACCAGTTCCTTGCCCTGTGTTCCAATTAGTTCCCAAATTCAGCACAGACACTTAGAAAGCTGGAAATAACTTGGGAGTTCATCTTACTCTGCTTTTATGTTTTATGCTGGACTTCGGAACCAACAGCATCAGTTTGTCTGTATCAGAGTCAGGACTGGAACTCGTGACCTTTGCTGCTAGCGCTGACCCCCTCTCTACTTCCTGCCACTTTTCCAGAACCTGCAGTTATCCAGGGCTCAGGAAAGTGTGTGGTCTAAAATGTGGCTGTGAGTTGGCGCCCTACCTATGTGACTACTCTGTCCTTTTGGTTCTGTGTGGGGAAGGCCACTGGCACGATGAGGAAGAAACATTTCACATCGATGCCAACAGCTGATTCGTCTTGGAGGATCACCTACCCCATTGTCACTTACACATTTCTAGTCATTTTGGGTTTCAACCCACTCACCAACTCATTGTCTCTAGTTTCTGTCCTCTACATTCTTCCAAAATTGCTTTTATCCCATTTTCCTTTGCTCTTTGCTAGTAGGTATGGAATATATGAAAGATGTATGTGTCAGAGAGGCGTGCTGTGAGGGGATCGCAGGGGCAAGGTCAGAGGGCGTTCTCAGAAAGCAGACTGAGCTTCTGTGAGAGTAAATACAAATGTGCGCTTGCAGACGAGGAGTGTCTGTTGGGGAAATAGGAGTATACGGGTTGCAAATGTAAAAATTGTCCTTTACAAGAACGATTCCAGAAGCAGATAGAAGAAGGGAGAGTTTGATGCGGGAGGTGGGTCCAAGCAGATTAATTGCTGATACGAGGCTCCATTTGGAAGGTCATCTACCATATCCATGATGGATTGCCCGGTCTTATGAGCTGGATGGCAGTAGGAGCAAAGCGCTCTGGCACCGAAATGGGAGCACACAGGCTCAAATCCCAGGAAAAGCACTGATAAGCCAGGGTGTTTTGAGTTATCTGCCTAACCTCTCAATTTCCTCAAGTGTAAAATCAGGATAAATATAGTACTTACTTCATAGAGTCACTGAGGGTGACGAAACAGGAAAAGCACTTAGTCTAGTGCCCAGTACACAGTAAATGGTTGGTAATAATGAGGCATCATTATGGGGGCATTGAGGACTAGGAAGAGCATGCCTGGCCAGGAGAAATAGTGGGTCAACCAGACACTCTTTCTGATCTTGTGCTGAAACCATTGCCATACAATCATAGGATCAGAGAACTGTGCTTTGTGGGCACCACAAAAAACAAACATCTTATCCAAAATGCCTTCACTAATTAAAAATATAAAAAGGCCCACTGAGATTGACTTTCTCAAAGCCGTTCAGCCAGTGAGCAGCATAGGGTCTCAAAGACCCTGTGAGATACATATCCCTCCCTCTATGCTATGGCATTTCAATTCCTGACAGCTAAATTGTTGCTGTGACCAACACAACCTTTCCATCCCCACATATATTCACACATTCATTCATTCCACAGAGTTTTCCTGATGAGCTACTGTGTGTAGGTCCTTGTATTAGGTCCTAGGGATTAAGCCAGATATGGCCCCTATGTTCATTGAGCTTATAGCCTCAAGAAGAAGGAAGATTTTAATCAAGCCAATTTTGAAATATTAAAAGCAAAATTACAACTAGAAGATAAAGTCTACAGAAAGAAGGAGTCTATCTGTTGAGTCACTGCTGTCTCCTGATCACATAGAACAGTGCCTGGCTTGTAACAGGTCCTAAATGCATGCTTGGTAAATGAATGCCAGGCAATGCCCTGTGTGAGTGCAGCCGTCAAAAGCAATGAATGAGTGGATGCAGAATGGGGGGCTGGCCTGCTCAGAGGAGTCAGGAAAGGCTTGCTTCAGGAAGGGATGCTGAATGCAACCGTATGCCCACAGGGTGAAGTGAGACAGGGTGGGCTACAGGGATGGGCGAATGCTGGAGAGGAAGGGCACAGGGAGCTTTGGAGGAAAGAAAAGAAGTGCGGTCAAGCGGTGACTCTGGCAGGCATGTGGAGGGAAGAGGTGATAGCAAGTGCTGGCAGGTACCAGGAGGAACACAACAGTATTCAATGAGGCATTCCGCTTTGATAAATATTGTCTTATTCACAATTCACAGTGACAGTCTCATGTCTGTGGGTCAGAAAATATCATCCTGCTCAGCTGAGTAAACTCAGACCTGTGGTCTTTGTTTGTGGTCAAAGTCACACATGTAAACATAGCATTTGTGAGACTCCTAATGTATTTAACCTTATTTCACCCTGTCGTCAGTCTTTTGAAGTAGGCATTAGTGCCCCAATAGCATATATGAGGAAAGGAAGGCTCAGCAAGTTCAAGTGAATTGGGATGTGAAGGCCGAATGGGGATGTAAATGACTGTGCTATGGGCTGGATTGCACCCCTCTACTACCAAACATCTGTGTTGATGCTCTAACTTCCAGTATGTCTGTTTTTGGAGGTGGGACCTATATAGGGAGGTAATTAAGGTCAAATTAGATCATAAAGGTGAGGCCCTGATCCAATACAGTTAGTGTCCTTATCAGAAGAGACACCAGAGAGCTCCCTCTCTCACTTTCTCTGTTAAAATTCAGAGGATAAACCATGTGAAAACACAGCAGCTGTCTACAAGCCAGGTGAGCCCTCACAAGGGCCGCCCTGGCAGAAACCTGCATCTTGGACTTCTAGCCTCCAGGACTGTGAGATAATAAATGTTGTTTAAGCCATCCCATCTGTAGTATTTTGTTATGGCAACCCAAGCCAGCTAGGACAGTTTTGCTGTATGCTGGCTGTTGTTATCTGCTACGACACACCTCTTTCTTAGTTAATGGCAGAGAGAGGCAAGAAGGGCCACTGGGTTGTCAGTCCTGTGCCCTTCTCTGCACATGCTCCCTGCCACTGCAATCCGACCAACCTGGGGATAATGGCAGGTTGTGGCTGGGAAGCCTCTCAATCCCACCCTATCTTCTCAGTTTTGTCAAGACCAAGGCATGAGTGTCCCTGGTCACTGGGGTGTGGGCAAAACTAAATGTCTGTGAGTGTCTTGGATCAAGAGCTGTGGCAGTGATAGTTGAAGAGCTGATTTCAGGTCTAGAAAATTCAAATATCGTCTCTTTGCATGTGACTCAGGTTGACATCTTAGAACAGTAGGGTTGTTCTAGAAGCAGAGCTGAATACCAGCTACTGTTTCATCTAAATGCCTCAGTGACTGTGTAAGAGTGTGTGTATGTGTGCATGCGTGTGCCTGTTTCTCTTTGCTGATGATCTGGGCAAATACTCCAATACCTAATGCAGGGGTCCATTTCGGGGCTTATCCCGTACGTATTCATTAGCTAAGTGGCCTTCAGTGTTATCCAAGTTCTTTACTCCTCCTTTTACTTATCTGTAAAATGGGGTTAATAACCTGCCTTGCACAGCACTGACACGATGCCTAGAACCCAGTACACATTTGGTAAATAGCAGACATTATCATTATGAATAATGATCCCAAGTACTTCTATTTTAAAATAAAGTTTTTAGAATGAAATCATTATCCCTGTTTGCCTTGGGCTAAAAGAATAAAAAAATCATAGTAGGGTGATGTTTCCACCAAGACAATTATCTATTAATCCAGTTGGTCTCTGGGCTGGGTTGCTGTTGGTGCTGTTGTCTGTACAAATAGCAGAATGACCATCCTTTTCAAAGGCAACCAACCAAGTGTAAGTTTCTTGTTTTGGGGGCATAAATAAACCCCTTCCCCCAAAACCCATAAAACTATTCCATAGAGTGCATGTGAAAGCCATCATATTCTACATGCTTATTATCTAAACTGTGTAAACCAAGCCCCTTGAGCTCTATCCATCACAGAGAAATAAATTGCAGAGGTGAAGCAGGCAAGCCTATCTTTGAAGTAGACTAAAACTCAAAGGCATAGGCATTCAGGCAGGCAGAGGTAGGAAGGAACATGCTGTACCCACCTGCCACTGCTGGTGAGGGGCTTATTTCTAAGACACACACAGCACAATGCACACACAATGCAGAGAGAAAACAAAAGACATAGATCACACATTTCAGATGGTTGGTGGACAAAGTTTAGTTAATGTCAATGCTGAAAGCTTGATCAGTGTCTGAGGTGCACGTGGAAACGTGGATACCTCTCTTCATCCTACTCAGCAGTTGCTTCCCTCTAACCAAACTTCAGCAAATAAACAAATACACACGCACATAAAGTATCATGACAAGCCGGCCCTGGCCCGTGCTGTGAAACGTTGCAGAAGGATATGGATGCAGCAGTGTGGGAAAATGGAGTCAGGGAGACATAGAGGCTTTAAAGGAGGTCAGTCGTGGCTCCCAAGCCTTCTCCACCCATATGGGAGGGAAAGACCTTCAGAGGGTTTGCTGCTCCAGTTGTGGACAGAGCAGCCATCTGATAAGGTCTCAGACTGCTACTCCATTCCTCCCCATGGATGACAGCAAGAAATGCAAGCAACATGAGAATCATAATGGCAGCAGTTGACTTGTTTTAAAACAAGAAATATCACCCCCAGAATCATAGACTCCAACTATAGAAGGCATCTTAAAATTATACAGTTGAATTGACCCATGGTTCTATCTTCTTTATACAACCATCATTCTATTTAATTTACAATTTGGTTTACTCCTGTTGTAAGGGCAGACGTTGCCTTTTAATGGCCATGAGATATCAATTACCATGTAACTATCACTGCATGGCATGCTAGGGGAATGGCAGGGAGAAGTATGTCTTATCTACAGGTGGTGGGTTGAGCAGGATGGATGGACACAGGCCAAGCAGATCACAGCTTCCTCCCTCCTGAGTCCCTCAAGCTTCCCCGTGTAGCTGAGCCCACTGCATCCAGGCTTCTAGCACTCACCATACAATGTGATGCTGGCATTGGTGTTCCCAAGCTTGTTTGTGGCCACACAAGTATAGTTCCCATAATCCTTTTCTGAAACATTGAAGAAAGTCAGAGTGGACATGCGGCCTTTGTTCTCAATCCTCACTCCATCCAGGCCAGTGGCTAACCTGCAAGAGGGAAGGCATGGCCGTCGATTCATTCTACAAGGAGGCCCTCCTCCTCACAAAATGCTTTTCTCCAACTAACCCCGATCCTAAAATTCAAAGCCCAAGGACCTCAGTGTCCAACAGGAGGACACGGGAAAGGATGGCCTTGCCCAACAGGATAAATGTGCTGGATTCTAATTACCATGACTGGCATGTGCACAACCATTCTCAGATCTGGAATCGTGGTCAGTTCAATTTGTTCACTTCCCAGCCTCCTCCATTTTTTTTTTTTCTGGTTGTAAAAGGACTTTGTTACAAAAGAGGGTATAACAAACTTCTGTTTTGGCTTATCTTTCCCCTTTCTTTCATCCTCACCCTTCTCCCATGTGGGGATGCCCCATCAGCTCAACTTCAGAGCTGCCTGGGTGTCATTTAAAATTTACCTGGTATCTTCCTTGAACCACTGGAATTCAGCCATGGGAACTGCAGAGGCTTCACAACTCAGGATGCCTTTCTGACCAACTGAAACACCAGTGTTCTTGGCTTTTGAGATATAGGGAGGATCTGTGGGAAACACACACGCACGCACACACACACACACACACACACACACAGAGTGATTTCATGAAAGAGAGGAAGGGCACATCCAGTCATTTGCTATGTAAATAGACTTGGTGACAGCTCTCTTTCCCAGTGAAATAATCATTTATTTCAGGAAAATAACTTGCTTGAAGATATTGCATTGACCCCCAACTTCTTCAGACCTTCAAACCCGTTCTCAGTTAACAATTTTCTCCACGTGCTGAAAGCCCTGCCAGTCACGGAAGGACTCCAGGGACAAATGGCATAGGGGTCATGGTAGGCAAAGCCATCTGACCAAGTATTTTCCTGCTGGCAGCAACTCGGGTCTTTTGGAAAATGGCACTGCCATTACCAGATTGTCCCCCTCCTCCTGATGCCCCCTTTCCCCCAGAGCCCCCTGGCTGCAGGTCCACTCACAGTTTACAGTGATTTTTACTTTCCGCACATCCGGCGCAGCGACGTCATTCAATGCGCTGCATTCGTACTCCCCGGACTGGTCTCGTTTGATGTCAGAGATCTCCAGGTACTCATCCTCGCTTACAAAGCCCTGGCCTTCTGGGAAGAAAGAACCAGACAGAAAACAATCAAGAAACTGTGTAACTGGAGACAGAACCATAATCACATCTAGAGATAATGGAGTAGGACATGAGGTCAAAGACATAGAGCAACATGGTGCTCAAAAGATGCAACAATGGAAGAAACAAATTCTCCACCAAAGAAATTCTGAGAGCCTGAGCCTTGCATCAATGTGTTTTCAGCCAAGTCACTGAACTTTTTTACAGCATTTGGTAAGAAAACGTAGCACTATTTTTCCTATATGGTTATTGTGATGATGAACTCAGAGATGTCATGATAAATACCTCAGTGCATTGCCAAGCTGATATTTGAAAAAGAATTGTCATGATCAACAATATAATAAAACTATGGAATAACTTTAGGGTATATTACCATGGAGCACATCTTAATTTTTCACTATGTGGAAATGTTTTAATATGCAGAATACAAACTACTACTTGTAGAATGAAAAAGTACACATTCTACACTTTAATATAAGTAAATGCAAAGTAGCTGGTTTTGTTTCTCCTTGTGGTGGAGAAGACAGAGTGAGAATGAATGAATGAGCAAGGACCTCACGACTGATTTGTAATAGGTGCTCAAATAAGCATTGGCCAACACAAATGAGATCGCTCCACATGCAGGATCTTTGCTGGAACAGCCTAGTGGATTTAACACTCAATTTGATGGAGCTCCCTGGAGGATTCACTCACAGGTACTTGTGAAACTTGTAATTCATAATTCAAAATATTATGGGCTGCAAAATTTCTATTGCTTTTAAGCCACCATTATAGGTTCTTGCAACAATCTGGCCTCTCCACCTTACCCCTTATCTTACTCCCTGTGGTTCAGTGCAAAGACAGCAGACCCTCTGTCTTCCATCACAAATGTTCTGAGCTCTGTCAGCACACTGGGATCCCGTGAAAACCAAGATAAAGCACACAGTCATTTGCATTTTTTATAGGCCTGCAGTCCTAAGGGCTACAATAGTTTTCAGGGCAACAAAAATGTTAACTTTCCCCACAGCCTTGTGAAAGCATGTTCTGATCCAATGTGTTTGGGTACAGCATGGGTGTGTAGATGGGCTGGTGTGCAGGGTGTAAGGTGGGCAGCAGGAAGATGGAGGGAGTGGACTGGTGTGCAAGGTGTACGGTGGGCAGCAGGAAGGTGGAGGGGGTGGGCGATGTGCAGGGTGTATGGTGCGAGCAGCAGGAAGGTGTCTTTGGAGGTGGGTGGGTGTGTAGGGTATATGGTGGGCAGCAGGAAGGTGGAGGGGGTGGGCTGGTGTGCAAGGTGTACGGTGGGCAGCAGGAAGGTGGAGGGGGTGGGCCGATGTGTAGGGTGTGTAGCAGGGATGTCTATAGGCATGGGCTGGCGTGCAGGGGGTAAGGAGGCAGGTCCTTAGGTTTCCTGACTCGGGTCTAAGTCTAAGCCTCAGGGTGTCCACCACCCACCTGCTCATTTCCCCAGACCATGTGCTTTGTGGCTCCTGCTGTCTTCTCTGCCCCCATCTCCTATCCCAGATCACACGCACCTAGGGAGTACCATCAGTCTCTGGATACTGATTACCAATCTATTTATAGAAAGGTCACTGCAAATAAGCACCATTCTGTTAGCCCAGTTTGTGCAATTCCAAGGAGGAAATAATGCATTGGCCAGTGGGAGCAATCGTTTTGCCTGGCTACCCTCCTCGAACCTGGTCCTGGTCACAGGGTCCCAAAATGTGCCCATGGGTGTGAGGTTCAGAGTCACTGGGAGATCTGGGTGAAGCCACATAAAGAGTGGCTGAAGGGTGCTGGTGAGATCTGCAGAGTAAAGAAATGGGGTCTGAGACAGCAACTCACACACTTCCAGCCTGGGATCGGAGTGTCTCTCCTGAATGATACTGCTGGCCCCAGAAGGTCCCAGGCACCAGATGGGAACTTAGCAAATTTCAGTGAAGAAACTGCAGAGCATGAATCACATGGGTCTGGGTTAAGCCCCCATTTGCTGGGTGCCGCTGCTGGATCAAAAGCCTCTACCACAGCAGACACAATGATCCAGGCTAGCTCATATCCTAACTCTTCAAGGTGCATTAGGGACATGCAAACACTTTCTCATCTACTCCCTTTATTTCTCCATAGGCTAAAGTGAAGGGGATTCTGAGATTACTTTTTAAATGAAATTTAATAAAGAAAAATTAGTTGACCAATCTAAGCATTTTTAAGGATTAAAGAACAATGGAATCAAACACATCGAAATGAAGTTCCAGACCCACTTCATCATTTTTTTTTTGCAAGAAATAAATGTGGTAGGATGAGAAGCCTGGCTTTTTACTACTGTGACTCCATTAGTTTTTCACAATGTACCACAGACGATTTTGCCATGAGCTTTTCGCCATGCAATTAAATTGTATTGCATTTAGCCAAACACATGGGCTACCTGCAGGGGGCCTGGCTGGAGTCAGGCAGGGTCAATGATACCCGCTCCTCAGAGAAGAAAGCACCAGATCACGCTGCTTGGTGGACCTCAGCCAGGTGCCTCGAAAGCCCAAGATAAGGTGACATCCACCAATGCCAATGGACTTAGAAATGGTGACCTGCACATAGGAAGGGATGGTTTCACAGAAGGGGGAGGCCCGTGTGCATTTGCATGGGTAAGACAGGTTCTGCATCCTTCCAGGGGAATTACCAGGTGACCGTGCAGTCTCTGGAATGTGGGATTTCTTTCCACTGTCTGTGATGCTGTTTTCATGGGACAGTTATGCAACAGCAGAAAAGGAAGGAAAAAAAAGTTCATTTGCATAAAATGGAGATCGTTATAATACTACCTCATTAAGTGAGAAAATGAATTTTGTCAAGTTTGTACAATAAAGTAAGTGCTTCTCAGATTTTAATTTGCATATAAATTCTTCAGAGTTTTTATTTTTTATTTTGTATTTTTTTAAATATAGATTCTGATCCAGTAGGTTTGGAGTGGGGTCTGGGATTCCACATTTCTGGCAAATGCCCAGGGGCTGCCTTCATGGCAGGGCCATGGCCCACACCCTGAGCAATGAAGCTGTGAACACCCTGCTGCGCTGTTCGTGAGCTCTCTCCTACCCACACACATCAAGTCCTTTAAGGTTATGAAGTGGTCAGTGTGTTAGAAAAATATACTAAGTGCCCCTCAGGCTGAGACCCTTGTGGAGCCTGCACCTCAAAAGACTCGCTGTTTTGGAGTTTAGGGCTCAATAGGCTGGCTGCATTGAGGCTGAGAATCAGGACCCATAAACTCTTTATGATCTTCCCACTACACATGCATCCTCGCCAAAACATGTTTCTTTGTTGAAAAATGGAAAGTGTTCATTGACACTTCTCTCCATCTCAGGCTCCGTGAAGGTGACTTACAAGCTATTTTCTTAACTACTTTGAATGCCGAGTGAGATTTTTAAAGCAGAACGAACCTAGGTTGCAAAATGCCTGGAGACCTAGGAAGCTGCAGGGCTGCCCTCTCCACTTCTGGTTGCAATGTAAAATTCTGATTCCATGCTGCAGATAACAGGGCAGAAGGCAACCAGTGTTTCCATTCTCTTTACTAGCTGCCAGGAAACCAAATTGCTGACTATGGAGTTAAAGGAAGGGAGGAATAGGAGAAGATAGGAAAGAGAAGGAGGAGAAGGAAGGAAAGAAAGACAGAGGTGGGACAAGCAAGACGGCCTGTGAGCCATTGGAAAGACTGAAGACATGTTCAACAAAGACCTTTTTTTTTTTTTTTTTTTTTTTTTGAGATGAAGTCTCACTTTGTTGCCAGGCTGGAGTGCAGTGGCGCAATCTTGGCTTACTGCAACCTCCGCCTCCCAGATACAAGCGATTCTCCTGCCTCAGCCTCCTGAGTAGCTGGGACTACTGGTGCATGCTATCACACTCAGCTAATTTTTGCATTTTTAGTAGAGACGGGGTTTCACCATGTTGGCCAGGATGGTCTCGATCTCTTCATCTTGTGATCCGCCTGCCTCAGCCTCCCAAAGTGCTGGGATTACAGGCATGAGCCACAGCATCCGGCGTCACCAAGCACTTTTTTAAAAGGCTATAAGACTGCAATATTTTCCTTGCCAACCAGGAGCTGCAAGTCTGCTCAACAGTTTTGCTTTCTAGCGAAATGTCCTCTAGTAAGACAGTAAGTAACCCAGAGGCATTATGAACCTGCTTTAAGCAGTCCAACATCCCAATATAACATGGTTGGAAGCAACAGAAAGCAGATTCTGAATCATTGGCAGAAATGCATAAAAACCGAAGCTGTTTCCATGGAAAGAGTGCTTCAAAGAAGATTAGCTCAATTCACTGTATTAGCAAAATTAAGATCTGCAAAAATACAAATGAGGCCATTCATCAGGGGCTGTGGAGGTCGTCGCCTCAGATGCAGGATGCATGTTTGGGATAGGATGAGCAAGCCTCAGGGTTCTGTGGACCTAAGGGGGGCTTCTTCTGTAGGAGCAGACATTCTGACAACACAGTCACAGAATAGAAACAGCAGGCAACATCCACAGGCAGGGTCTGTCTGTTCTGCTAGAAATGGAGGAACACACAGAGAGACGACTCAGGGAAGAAGGACCACTGGCTGGCTGCTGGCTCTGCCCTCACTGTCCTTATTCTGCTGACATTCAGGATGAACAAGGTGTTGCGTCAGACACTGCGGTGAGGGAATGGGGGCAGACATGATGCTTCACCTGGGTCTGCAATCTCATGGGGCAGAACTCAAAGCAGTTCATGTTTTTCCATATCTTAGGCTCAATTTTTCAGTTCTTAGTCATTTCTAGATCCCTCAAGTAAAGTGTAGTGAGTCAAAAAGATTTATTAGAGCTAAATGAAAGCTAAGCATTTGGGGATGAAAAGATGAAACAGGAAATCCAGAGCAGAATCTGGGGCTTCCTGACCTGCCTCTCTTTCCTTTCTCACTTTGTATCCTTTTGTGCCACCCGTATCTCAGCTATCGTTCCTGCATCCAATTTTCCTGTTTATTTCCTCAGCCAATTCCTTAGA